GCACAGCACAGCCTGGCACCGAGCCAGAGAGCGCGGATTGGACAGCAACAGCCTGCAACTGGTTCTTTGTGCCCGCAGGAGATCTGAATCCCCAGAGATTGGATGAGTATTCAACTTCAATGTATTACAGCTCGAGAATTCAATTGTTATCCCAACCAGTTGATATCAATGTAATTCCTAAGAGTTATGTACTTCTTTTGAGTATCCGATCTAGAAGTTATAACCAAGTTCATTTAGGAAACGGTCTAAATGAATGATATACTGAACGTATGTCCTCTTGATATATGTAACTCTTTGTAACTGATTGAATATATACCTTTTGTATTCTGATAACCCTCTCGATAAGATCTGTTAGGTTTATATGCACATTTTATGTATTAATAAATGTATCCTCGTGTATAAGTACCTTTGTGTTAGTGTGTTGTTTGAGTTATATCGCATGGTTGGATTCTAAAGCCATTAAAATAATTATTTTGTGATTTACGGCTACAATTAATAATTGTCCCCGTAAATGCCCAAACCCTACAGAACTAGTGCCTTCAGAGAGCACACTACAATACTGTCTCCCTGATGGGGACATTATGAATTGTGGAATCAGATGTGATGTTCCTTACCTTTCTGAGAACTGTATTATGATATAAATCAATGATCTTGGGACTGCCATTTTCACTATCCTGGACAGTTTAGTATGGAAACCTGGGATGGAAAAGTAAAATCAAATCGATATTAAATGCCAGGATGATATCATCAAGACATATGCCATCTCTAAGACAGTTTGATTAATGTGAAAGTTCTTTAGTCTTTGAATTAAAAACAGCCTCTACTTTGCTTTCTTGAAAGTAGTCTATATTCTCAGTGTAGCTCGACCTATGGTCAATATGTGTTCCCAAATATTTAAAACTCTCTACAACATCTACAGACTGATCATTGAGTACTATTGGCTGCATCAGTTGCAACATTGGAAAGAAACTCTTTAGTCTTGGTCACATTTATTTCCAGTACATGGGATTGGCACCAGTTAAGGACACTGATGTGTTCAAAGTAAGTTTCCTCACTTAGAGGTTGGTACTTGAAATGGTACCATAGTGGAATGGCCATGTTTTAGGGGCTTTGTGTTTTTTTGGAAGGAGGTAGAATATTCTCATTCTGGGTGATTCTTCTCCCCTTGTTTCTTTGTGAGGTATTTTTGTTCTATTCATATTTATAGGATTTGCTCTATCTCTAGTGCTGTTTTTTTGTATAGGGGTTCTTCTAAACTAGCATAATGTTCCTGATTATTTAATCCTCTGTGTGCCTCTGCAATGCATCTCTCCCTGTCCATGATGACAACTGCACTCCCCTTGTTTGCTGGTTTTATGACTGTTTATTTTCCTCCTTTATGGTTTCCTCCTTTGTTATGTTGTGTGAGTTTCCTTTGAATTCTTGTTGTCCTCTTGAACTATTTCCCAGATTTCTGTTGGAAGGTGGTTTTTGCATGGTTCTTGGCTGGATTTAGAAAGGAATGGGATTTTTTCTATGTCTTTATTCTCAAAGAAGGCGGTCAGTTTCAGCTGACGGTGTTGTACGATTATATTTTGCATATCTCATTCACTAATTTTGAGGCAGAAAAGGCTTGCTGTTCCTCTTCTTGACAAGAGTTCTTGGCTCCTCAGTCTCTTTCTCCAGGTTGTCTTCCTCAACTCTTTTTTTCTCCAGCTCCCTGCTGTATTATCTACCACAGTTTTCTGCCACCATGTCCTCTATCTTCTTCAGCAACTCAGTGACCTGAGTGCAGACACCTCTGTTCTTGTTGTTGAGAACATGATACCTGTTTCCACATTTCTCCACTTGCCACTGAAGCTTCTTTCCTCCTCTCTCAATGTGCTGCTCAATGCCTGTGTCTCTCAGCTCATCCCCCCAGGTGAACAGCACTATTGTGTTTCTCCAGAATGACTCATTGAAGAGTTCCAGTTGCTGCTTCACTGATGTAACATGTTATTCTGTAAATGATGGGGCCAGTGCAGGAATCACAAGGAGGACAACATGAGGTCCTGGTGGACATAGCTGCACACTGTCCACAATCTGCTGAACCTGCTCTGGAGACCTTGAGGTACTGACCACAGTGACTTGCCTCCCAGCTACTTCATCCTGGCTCTTCACACACTGGACAGTTCCTGCTCCTCCAGTCCCAAACTCCTTTCTCCCCAGGCTGGTGTTTCCTGCAGAACTCTTTCCAGACCATTGTCCCCCGAGCAGCACAATCCTGACCTCTGAGATACACTGAGCCTCATGGGGAAACAGCCTGTGTATGTGAAGCATAGTAGAGCAGTTCTGAAACAAAAACATTTCCGAGGATTCACAAATAAATGATGTGACAGTCGAATTATATTTGTTATTTATTCTAAAATGCGACCTTTAAAATTAGTACACTATACAATTCATAACTTATAACTTATTAATATGCAGAAATGGATTGCAGTAAGCTTTTAGTATGGTAATTTTATAATTATATAGGGGTATATTCAATGGTTTCAGAAACCTGTAATTTCTGATAAAACAAAGCATTGTAACTCTGCAGAAGGGAGGATAAATGTGAATTACAGATCGCCTCAGAGTAGAATCACTATTGCTAGTGTTTGTGTGCTCAGGGATATTATTAACACAACCCCCACTTAAACCCTACAATTCTGTACTCTTCTTTCTGTACTGTGCTCAATTCCTCAAGGTTCTGACACAGGGACACAGACAATGAATATTTTAATTTGTAAAGGTTATATTTCTGCATATCCATTTGTTCCCAAATTCCACCGTGGATCTGCACTCCTGGCTCCAGTTCCACACGTGCGGTACTATCCATGTGTGTGGGTTTCTTCCCAGAGACATGCTGGTGGGTTAAATTGGGGCCTGGGGTGAGATGGTCTGTGTGTGTGAGTCTCTATGTCTCGTTGTTTCTGCCTCGTTTCTGTCCGTGTGTGTATGAGTCTCTGTGTGAGTCTCTTTGTGTGTCTCTTCGTTTCTGTGTCAGCCTGTGTGCCTCTGTGAGTGTGACCGTGGCAGTCTGTGCATCTCTGTGAGTGCGAGTCTGCGTGTGTCGAGATAGGCTGCAGCTCCCCTGTAGCTCTGGAATGGATGAAGCGGAAAATGGATGGATTTATTTAATCTCTTATCTGGGAGATGCTTCTGTGTCATTTGGTATAACAGTAATAGTATCAGGAAATCTTCATTCCTCCCTGCAGTCTCATTCTCTTACAATGTAAAATAAATGCATTATGACATTATTCATAAAAAATATATTTCTGGTAGTAGCTGATACATTAATGCTGCACACTGGTACCTTCCCAGGAGTGAATAAGATGTGCATATAAACTGGGCATCATGTGATACCTGTCAGTTACACCTTCAACAGGCTGACAGGGTTAGCTTGAGAATACCAGCAGTGTTAGAAGATGAGTGTTAGTTTTTGAGAAGGAGGGTTATGAAGTGGTTTAGCTTCTTCTACACTCTACAACAAGGTTGTGTTAAATCCTGCTGGACATTAAGATAGCTTTTGACTTGTGTTTTTGTGTGTGTGAATTCCCTGAATTAGGGTCTTGTTACAGAAGGTGAGTGTATATACAGTGCCTTCAGTAAGTATTCACCCCCTGGATTTTTTTTGCATTTTGTCCCCGTTATACCACCACATTTTAACACATTGAAATATTTTTCCTCGTTTCAATAGCACAATAAATTCAGCACATTTATGAATCAAAAATAGTTTTTATTCAAGAAGATTCGTTTTTCCAAACTGAAAGATTTACATTTCTCATTTACAAAAGTATTATATAACAAGAGATTGTTCGTGTCTGCGGTTTCTCCCATTTCTGCCAGAGAGCTCTGCAACTCTGTCAGTGTTATAGCTGACATCTTGGTCACTTTTCTGACAATCACCCTTCTTGTCCGGTTGCTCAATTTGGTAGGAGGGCCTTATCTTAGTAGTGTCTGGGTTGAGCCATGTTTTTTCTATTTTGTTACAATGGGCTTTTACGGTGCTCCTAGGAAGGTTCAAAACTTTGCCAATCTTTTTATAACCTTCTCCAGGTTTTGTCCTCCTAACAACTTCATCTCAAAATTCCAAAGGCAGCTCCTCGGTCTTCATGACAGAAGGACTAATCTGATCTGCTGTTTCAGTTGTGAGACCTGACAGTGATAGCTATTGTGCAATCAAGCAATTGAACACCAGTGAATTTGAAATGAACACAGGTGTACCTTGTTAACATATTTAGTGTGATCTCTCAAGAATATTGACCCAAATTAGGTTGTTAAAACAAAGGGAGCGAAAACTTATCAATTACATTTCCATTTTTTTAAATAGATGTCTTCAGAATTATAAATACTTAATTTCATTTTAACATTATAGAGAATTGCTTCTACAGGAGTGGGAAAAAACATTTAAATATGATTTAATTTGACTTTGCAACACAGCAGAACGAGAAATAAACAATGGGGCGTGAATACTTTCTGAAGACACTGTATATATCGCTTGTCCTGTCTTGTTTAAAAAACAATAGTTGCATTGAAAAAAAAATGGAATTATTACTAACGGTGCCAAAATAGATTTTCTTATTAAAAGAGATTCATTAAGTATCTTATTCTTTATTATTATTCTTATTTACCCTTTAATGCATACATATTTCTTGTATTTGATATATATGCTCTCTTATCCACATAAATTAAACTCCATGACAAGAACTATTTCTGTTTTAGTCAACTGTAAATAAGAGTATGGTCAGAATGTAACTGACCAGAGGAACTCAAAAGTGGGTGACTACAAAGTGACTATGGCTAATCGACATTTTGGGAACAAGTAAAGGTTTGTTCCATGCTGAAAAGAGAAGAAAATAAACGTTTCGGCTGTGGAGCCTTCTATGGATGTCACATGCTGACGCATCTACCTACTTGAACTAAAAGACATTTAATTTGACTTGACTGGTGACTAAACTGGTGTGTTTTTAAGTTACCTGACTGGATAAAACTCTTCCACACTAACTGTAGCTGAACAGTGTCTCTCCTGTGTGAATGCACTGGTGGGCTATTAAGCTACTTGACCGACTAAAACTCTTCCCACACTGACTGCAGCTAAATGGTCTCTCACCTGTGTGTATCCACTGGTGGGCTATTAAGCTACTTGACCGACTAAAACTCTTCCCACACTGACTGCAACTGAATGCTCTCTCCTGTGTGAATGCATCGGTGGGCTATTAAGCTACTTGATTGACTATAACTCTTCCCACACTGACTGCAGCTGAAAGGTCTCTCTCCTGTGTGAATGCGCTGGTGGGTTATTAAGTTACTTAACTGACTAAAACTCTTCCCACACTGATTGCAGCTGAATGGTCTCTCTCCTGTGTGGATGCGCTGGTGTGACTGTAAGTGGCTTTTCAGACTAAAACCCTTTCCACACTGACTGCAGATGAACGGTCTCTCTCCTGTGTGAATGAGCTGGTGTGTTATTAAGTTACTTGACTCACTAAAACTCTTCCCACACTGACTGCAGCTGAATGGTCTCTCTCCTGTGTGAATGCGCTGGTGTGATTGTAAGTGGCTTTTCAGACTAAAACTCTTTCCACACTGACTGCAGGTGAATGGTCTCTCTCCTGTGTGAATGCGCTGGTGTGATTGTAAGTGGCTTTTCAGACTAAAACTCTTTCCACAATGACAGCAGCTAAACGCTCTCTCTCCTGTGTGAATGTGCTGATGTCGTTTTAAGTGGTGCGAGTGACTAAAACTCTTCGCACACTGACTGCAGCTGAAAGGTCTCTCTCCCGTGTGAAGGTGCTGATAGGGCTTTGAAATGCTAGACTGACAGAAACGCTTCTTCTCCCTGTGCCATAATATCAGTTTGTCCACTCCATCTGAGCAAGGCCTTGAGTGATTCTTCCTCATCCCCTGATCGTGCTGGGGTCTCTTATTCTGCAAATGCTCCATGGAATGGCCTTGCTCTGTGTGCTGAAACCGAGCTGTGTTTTCTCCACCGTGTCCTTCAGTGTGCTGCTCACCAGTGTGAATCATCTGGGGCTCCTTCTCCAGCTCTCTGAAACTAAAACCATCCAGTTCATTCAGTTGTTCCTCTCTTTGCCCAAGAACAGACATACTCTCCAGTTCGTTAAAACTTTCAACGATTTTCTCAGTAACCAGATTATTAAACCTGTGTGTAAAGCCATCAGATACTAAGGTATCATATGATTGTTTGAGACTCTTGAATGACAGTCTCTCCACTTGAACAGAACAAGGCCTAATTATTATCAAGCCCTGTAGGAGCTGCTGTTGCTCCTCCCTATACTGACTCTTCTCAGTGTGCTGTGACTCAGTACTGTTCTCTTCACCAGGTACATCAGTCTGCTGCTCTGCAGAGTCAATCAACTTGGGCTCCATGTCCTGCTCTGTAAGATTTAAAATATCCAGTTCTTCACTGTGCTCTTGTACAGAAACACAGCCCAGTTCATTACAACGCTGTGTAATATTGTTTGTGTCAAGATTATTAATCTTCTCTGTAAAATCATCACATACTAAGAGCCCAGGTGTCTCACTCTCAGGTTCTTTCTTCATCATGGGCACAGAGTCCAGATCTTTAACAATCCGTCTGCTCTATGTGTGCTGCTCACTGAGTGTCTCTTTCCCTTCTGCGGCAGTGAGCTCGGTCTCCTGCATCAGACTGAAGCCCCACTCCTCCTCACTGTGCTGCCGTTCGCCATAGTCAGAGAGAGCACTGGCCTCTGAGCCTGTAAACAAAGGACAAGAAGACAAGACCTTTATTATAATAATAAACTTTATTTTATATAGCACCTTTATAGGTGGCTTCTCAAAGCACTTTACAGAAGGCCAACAACAAAAAATACACAATATAAGCACGATGAGAATACACAGTTAGACGAGACAGCAGATGGTGGTACTAAGTACAGTAGGAGCAGAGGGGTAAAGAACAGTTAAATAAAGGCTCTTCTGAAGAATCTGAAGAACAAGGTTTTGAATCTGGACTTGAAGGAGTTTAGAGAAGGTGACTCTCTAATATCCTTGTGGAGAAAGTTCCAGAGCTTGGGGCAAAACAGGAGAAGGCCCTGTCACCCATAGAGCGTAGAGGGAATGGGGGGACAAATAGTTGAACACAATTAGAAGAGTGAAGGTTGTGAGGTGGGGAGTAGGGTGATAACTCAGACAGGTACTGAGGTGCCAAGCCATGGAGAGCCTTATAGGTGAGCAGGAGGATTGTTAAGTCAACACGAAACTTGACAGGAAGCCAGTGCAAGGAATCCAGGATAGGAGAAATGTGAACACTTGCACTAGACCTTGTCAGGATTCTGGCTGCCGAATTTTGGACATATTGGAGTTTGTTCAATGTGGATTTAGAAACCCCAGAGAGTGTAGTGTTACAGTAGTCGATTCAAGATTAGATAACACTTTTCAGCCACAGTTAGTGACAATATAGGGCATAGTCAAGCAATATTTCTGAAGTGAATGAAAGATGTTTTGACAACATGCTGCACATGTGGGTCGAACGTCAAATATCATCCCCATGTTTTTCCAATATAGACTGAAGCTCAAGTATAAGACAATCGATGGATAGTTACAGCATTGGTTTTACAAAGTTGATGAGTGGTGCCAATAAGCATGACAGTTGTAGTTCAGGTGGGTAGCTGCGTCAGCATGCGTAGGCTGCAAAGGAAAAAGTAATAGGTTTAATCCATGCTAAAAAAAAGAAGAAAGAGAACACAACGTTTCGGCTGTGGAGCCTTCTTCAGGTGTGAGCTCATCTTAATTTTCCAATTAAGATGAAGGACAATTTGAGTCATCCAAGATTTTATATCAGAGATGCAACTAAATAGAATAGAGACAGCCACATCAGCGTCAGGTTTTGTATGGATGTATATTTGAGTATCATCAGCATAGTAGTGAAAGCTGAGGCCATGTGATCTTAAAAGCTTTAAACTACACACATGTACTAATACACTCACAATCAATTTCGGTTGTTTAAACATAGCAGAATACATGGGTATAAGGGGATGTTCTGATTTAGATGGGTAAATACAGACACTGACTGGACATAACAGTACATTAACACTGTACTAAGAGAGGTATTAATAAATGCATACTGACTGGACACTGCAGCATATTAGCACTGCACTGAAAGGAGTTAATACATACATGTTGACTGGACACTACAATGCATTAACACTGCAATGAGAGAGAGGTGTGAATACAGACAGACTGCCTGGACACTCCAGTATATTAACTCTGCACCTAGAGAGAGAGGGGTTAATACAGACACACTGGATTAATATTCCAGAGGAGTTAATACAGACACAGACCCTGGAGGACGGTAATATCTAAACAAATCAAAATATTTTTTATTTACACAATCATTTGTATACATAAAAAATCTAGACCGATACAACGTGAATACAATATTTATAAATGGTGTTTCCTAATGACGTTGGATTACAAATTGATTGAGTGAAACAATTGTTGAATCTGAACGAAGTGTTTTCAGCACCGTAACCGGACAAAACAGTTCAGTTTCCACTCAAGAATCCCGTTGCTACATCACACATGTCTTTCCCACTTCACTCTGAATCTTTCCACTATACTCTCACCTCTTTCGGAAAGTTCATACACGATCGATCTGAGAAAAACCTGCATGAAAGAGTCAAGCTGGGTTTGCAGATTTAACAAGCACTCCGCCATCCTTCTTCAGAGTCGGTCAGAAACAAAGGCTGACTTGCGAAGTTTAAACAGAACAGCTTCTTTATTTTTATTCCTCACAGACTCTGTTATCAGGGCTGTGCTCTGTTCAAGCATAAACACAGCCGACGAGACGTTACGTATTCAGAACCTGAAGTCAAGAAAAACAACAACTTTCTTTATCTAAAGAAAAGAAAATGATTCAGTCAACCACATGTGGGTGAATTACACGCAGTATGATGACGTCATTCGTTAGCGCGGCTGCGGCTTCAAGACAACCGAGAAGCGGAGCTGAGAAAGAGGAATTTCTGCAGCCAGATATAAACTTCACTGCACCTCCTAGCGCCACCCAGAGGAGTGAATCACCTGCGACCTTCGCCGTTCGTAACGGAACAGATTCATTTTTTTGCCCTTTCACAACCCTCCTCCCCAACGAAAACGTCTCAAGCGGATTTTTGTTCTACATCTCCCTATGCAGGTTTTTGGTTAAAGAAAAAAAATGCTGTCGTTTTCTTGCCAACTGGCAGTATTTCTCCTGCACCAATAAGCAAGATTTCTATTTCATATTTCACAAATTGTTTGAATTTTTCTAAAAACAAGTGGTTCCAAGAAAGGAAATAAATACTTGCATTTAACAAAATCGAGCCCTGTGATTGTCCTTAATGAAACATTCTGTATGACAAGACAGGAAGAAAGGCACCTCAAGATTTTGGACACAGGATCTCATTTACTTTTTAACAGTTTCAATAAGATCGATGAAAATTGTTGCCCTGCTTTTTGTCGTAAATACACAAGCTCTTTACGTCATGTGTCGGAAAAAAAAACTGCATGAAATTCGTTAAAGCAACAAAAAGCAAGCGCCACAAAGAGGTCAAACATTTGAGTTTATGGTGCAATATTATCTCGTGTCTTTAAAATGACTTTAAACGCAGTTTGTTTTTCTCTGTGGCTCTAAGGCTTTCTTATTTAGCTGTACTGTTTTCTTCTACATATTGTAAAAAAATCATACGAACAATAAAAATTCCAATTGTAAACAACTGACCATTCATATTCCTGAATTTTAAACCCATGGAGTATTCATACCTTGTCTTAGTATTTGTGAATATTACAGAGCTCCTTTTCAAAAATTATTTGAAATCTCTAAATCACCCAGGCGGACTGGGTTCGACTTCTGGTATAGGAGCGCGTCTGTTGCCTTTTGGATTTCAAACGAGCAGCTCAGTGCAGAAGAGAGCCCCGTAAAACAGCATGCGGAGTGCAAAAACGAGTAATAATAGTTATCGCTTTGGTGTGTTAAGAGAGATACATTGCGTGAGGAGGGGAGGGGTGACTGGCAGAGAGTGCTGACCTTCGAAAAAAGGACTCGTCTCTGTAAATATAATTCCTCATCCTGAAGAGGAGGTTATCCCCATTTCTCTAGTCGGAACGCCTCTATTGCTAGAGAGCTGTAGAATGTGGAGTCTTCTATCCTGCTCTGGGAGTAGGGTGTACTGTCGTTTCCGTAGCGTGGTGGTTATTACGTTCACCTCGTTTCTTTGGCCTTCTGATAGGCATGTTTTTTTTTTAAGAAACTCTTCTGTATAAAAAATAGAGAGGAGCTAAGATACCGATAATGGTTGCGATAATGAACAGTGTTTTTCTCATGCAATTTCATACTATAATGTGGCACATACTGTATTAACTGCGTTTATCTGTCCTAGTGTCTGGTGAAAATTCGTTGAGAGCAGAGTCCTTTATTCATCTACTAAAGGAAGGAAAGAGATTTGCTTCTTGATAATCATTAGTTGGACCAAATACATGCATTGCCATTTAGTGCTAGGTACCATTAAGGTGGTTAAAGACCAGCGGGAACTTGTGTAAGAAAATGACATACACTGCAGCCAACATGGGGCTGGAAACCACGACGCTGGGATTAAGAGTCTCAGGCTCTACCGATTGAGTTAGTCAGATGATGACGCCTGAGTGGATCTTCTGTCGTCACTTTGAAGAGGTAGCTGGCTTATAATTATGTGGTGATCGGGATTCTAGTGTCTCTCACGGTATGGTGTGTTGATTATTCAAAACAGAGCAAATGTCTGATTATTCAAAACAGAGCCAGCAGCTCTGCAACTCACCTTGCAACTCACAACTGGGAACCCACTGAAGCTAAGCAGGTGTGAGCCTCGTCAGTACCTGGATGAGAGACCTCCTGGGAAAAACTAAGGTTGCTGCTGGAAGAGGTGTTAGTGGAGCCAGCAGGGGGCGCTCACCCTGCGGTCTATGTGGGTCCTAATGCCCCACTATAGTGAGGGGGACACTATACTGTAAACAGGTGCCGTCCTTCGGCTGAGATGTAAAACCAAGGTCCTGACTCTCTGTGGTCATTAAAAATCCCAGGGCGTTTCTCGAAAAGAGTAGGGGTGTAACCCCGGTGTCCTGGCCAAATTTCCCATTGGCCCTTACCAATCATGGCCTCCTAATAATCCCCATCTATGAATTGGCTACATTACTCTGCTCTCCTCCCTACTGATAGCTGATGAGTGGTGAGTGTTCTGGCGCACTATGGCTGCCGTTGCATCATCCAGGTGGATGCAGCACATTGGTGGTGGTGGAGGGGAGTCCCCATTACCTGTAAAGGTAATTTGAGTGGAGTGTCCAGAAAAGCACTATATAAGTGTAAGCAATTATTATTATTAAATGTCAGTAGTCATTGAAATTAATGGTTGTAATCAAAAGCGGTTAATTCTTTCACACAGTAACAGATACGCATATAACGTGGGAAGGTCCTCATTGTGTTTTCTGTGTACGATACTGGACAAAATACCAAGAGGCAGCAGGCAATATGAGAAATACATTTTAAATACCGAAAGTATTACCCGGGTCACCCTGGTGAAATCGAGGAATACTAACCGCTAGACTATACGAGAGCACGCAGCCTCACCATGCCGTGCATAACGCAGGCAAAGTGTAATTCCTGTCTCTACGGGGTGCTTGTTAGAGAGCTAGCTGGCATCCAGA